TCTCCCCACATCTCCCCATATCTCCCCATATCTCCCCATACCTCCCCATACCTCATACCTCCCCATACCTCCCCATCCCTCCCCATATCTCCCCACATCTCCCCATACCTCCCCATACCTCATACCTCCCCATACCTCCCCACATCTCCCCACATCTCCCCATATCTCCCCATATCTCCCCATACCTCCCCACATCTCCCCACATCTCCCCATATCTCCCCATATCTCCCCATACCTCATACCTCCCCATACCTCCCCACACCTGCCCACATCTCCCCAGATCTCCCCCTAGGTTCGAGAACCACCGCACGGCCATCTCCCCATACCTCCCCATATCTCCCCATATCTCCCCCTAGGTTCGAGAACCACCGCACGGCCGCCGCGCACGAGACGCACCTGATCGCAAAGATCTTCGTCTTCTTCTTCATCGACTGCTTCCTCTGGTTCTTCCTCCTCGCCTTCTTCCAGATCCCGTTCGGCTCGCAGATCGACGGGCTCCTCCACAAGGCGAGATCACGGGAGATCACAAGGGAGATCACGGGAGGTCACGGGAGATCTGTGGAGATCTCACAAACTCAAGGCCGGCGTCGTGCCCCGACCAACCCGTGACCCACCCGTGCTGGTCGTCATAATTCACAGCCACGAGGCATGAGCCGGGCCGGCGTCTTGCTCACAGCAACAGCGCGTTGAGCTCGCGCTCATGACGCAAGTCCTTCGCTCCCCAGGCCGGTGTCGTGCTGGACAGGCCCTTCGAGCGGTCGGACTGGGTCCCCCGCCTCGGCATGACCATCGGTAAGACACTTCCTAGACACTTCCTAGACGCTTCCCAGACGCTTCCCAGAAGGGCTAGGGTCCCCCGCCTCGGCATGACCATCGGTGAGACACTCCCTAGACACTTCCTGGACACTGCCTAGACACCTCCTAGACACTTCCTAGACACTTCCTAGACACCTCCTAGACACCTCCTAGACACTTCCTAGACACTTCCTAGACACTTCCCAGAAGGGCTATCGGCGTGCCGTCCTCCCAGCAGTCAAGTGTGAAACAGCGCCGCCTCACACCTCGAGCTGTGAACAGGCGCCGTCCTCTCCCTCACGCAGTGGTCGATGCCCCTCCTCGCCCCGACTCGGTGCCTCGTCTCCCGACACGAGCCAGCCGAGTCCGTACCTCCCTCAAACAGGTCGATGCTCCTCTTTCTGGGAAGTGTCTAGGAAGTGTCTAGGAAGTGTCTCGGAAGTGTCTAGGGAGTGTCTAGGTCGATGCTCCTCTTTGCCGACGCGTACGTCCCCTACTGGTGGTCCGCCCGCGCCAAGCGGCGCGAGGTGCGACCTCCCCGCAATCTCCCCACGATCTCCCCGCCTGAGGAGTCGCGCGCGATCTGCCCCAATCTCGCCACGACCTCCCGCGACCTCCCGCGACCTCCCGCGACCTCCCGCGACCTCCCGCCACCTCCCGCGACCTCCCGCGACCTCCCGCGACCTCCCGCGACCTCCGGCGACCTCCCGCGACCTCCCACGACCCCTCGCGACCTCCCGCGTCCTCCCATGACCTCCCGCGACCTCCGGCGATCTCCCTTCAGGCGGAGCGCGCGAGCAGCAAGCCCCCGCCTCCGGGCGCCGACCACGCCGCGCAGGAGCGCGATCACCTGTTCACAGCACCTGTTCACAGCTCCTGTTCACAGCTCCTGTTCACAGCTCGAGGTGTGGACGGGACGCTGCCCCCCCCCACACTCTCCACCTCGCCGCCTGTCGCACCGCAGGAGCTCGGGCGGGCGGGCGGGGGAGGCGCGCGGCGTCGGCGGCGGCGGCGGGCGGGCGAGGGGTGCGGCACGATGGCGGAGGTGCTGTCGCAGGTGCGAAGGAAAGAAATGGAGTAGAGTTAGGAAGGAGGGGCTGCTACGTGGCAGCCCGAACACATGGTCGTGTGAACGACACGTGCTTAGTTGCCACATGCTTCCTGCAAGGTGGCCCTGCCTGCGTACGACCCGATCCTTGACTACTCCGGCATGGCGACAGCAGCGTCCGCGTGCGAGCCCTCGCTTCCATTACTTAAGAGATTGACGGAGTACTTTGTTACCTGCTCCAGGTGACGCACTTGTACGCACGTCGCCTCCATTACTTAAGAGATTGACCAAGTACTTTGTTACCTGCTCCAGGTGACGCTGTTGTACGCACGTCGCATCCATTACTTAAGAGATTGACCAAGTACTTTGTTAACTGCTCCAGGTGACGCACTTGTACGCACGTCGCCTCCATTACTTAAGAGATTGACCAAGTACTTTGTTACCTGCTCCAGGTGACGCAGTTCGGGTACGTCGCCTTCTTCGGCGTCTCCTTCCCGCTGGCGGCGCTCGTCTGCATGCTGCCCACCCTAGAAGCGGAAGACCTCCCCATATCTCCCCGTATCTCCCCATATCTCGCACCCTAGAAGGGGAAGACCTCCCCATATCTCCCCGTATCTCCCCATATCTCGCACCCTAGAAGCGGAAGACCTCCCCATATCTCCCCGTATCTCCCCATATCTCGCACCCTAGAAGCGGACGACGTGCTCTTGTCTCCCAACCAGCGCCCGAGAGGACACGCACTCGCGCGGTGCTCTGAAGACACTGCACAACACCGTCCTCCCGCCGCGAGGCTGGCGTGTTCAGCACGTAGGCTGCACACGATGCTGCGCCTAGTACCAGCGTATCTAGTGTGGGTTCAGTCCCGTGGGTGGTGTGGTAGGCTGCACACGATGCTGCGCCTGCGCTCGAACGCGCTGCGCCTTACGCAGCTCTCGCGCAGGTGGTCTCCCCCATATCTCCCCCATATCTCCCCATATCTCCCCATATCTCCCCATATCTCACGCAGCCCCCTCCGGGCTACTGCAGGCCGCGGCCGCAGGCGGTGGACGGTGTCGGGCTGTGGGCGACGCTGCTCTTCTTCGAGGCGCATGTAACACCACTGAATAGCATGACTTCCACGCCTCGCTTCTCCCGCCTGCGAGAAGAAGTAGCTCGTCCAACAGCACACTCGTAATCATGGGCGACGCCTCGCTTCTTCGAGGCGCCACCCCCTTGCCCTACCTCCCCTCGCTGCGCGAGAGGAGGTCCGGGAGCATGTCGCGGTCAGGCGCTCGTGTGCGCGCTCGTCAACCCTCTCATCGTCGCCGTCTCGAGCGACCAGCTCGACGCGCGAGATTAGCCGAGATTCGCCGAGACTCGCCGAGATTAGCCGAGATTCGCCGAGACTCGCCGAGACTCGCCGAGATTCGCCGAGACTCGCCGAGATTCGCCGAGATTCGCCGGGATTCGCCGAGATTCGCCGGGATTCGCCGAGATTCGCCGGGACTAGGCGCTCGCCTGCTGGACGCACGAGCTGATGCGCGGGGACGGCGACTGCGGCGGCGGCACCGTCCCAATGTCGGCTCGCTTCCTGATCGCGATCGCGGCGGAGCACGCCCCGCTCGCTTGCACCCGAGATTTACCCGAGATTTACCCGAGATTTCACGCGAGGGGTAGGCCGAGCACGTCCTGCTCATCTGCGCCGTGCTGCTGTACAAGCTGCTGCCGCGCGAGACGGCCGCGGTGCGCGCGCAGCTGCAGCGGCAGGCGATGAGACCACACAGCCTGTCTAGCTGCTGAATGCACAAGAATTGCGTCGGGAGTCTGAGATCGGAATCCTTTCTTCACACCACAGGCCTTCCTCTTCAAGAAGCGCTACTGGGAGACGGTCGAGGCGCGCCCTGCGCATCACACACACACACACACACACCTCCTCCGACGGCACGAGACTCCCCCTCCACCCCCCGAGACTGCCCGAGGTTAGGCAGAGCGCCTCCTCTCGGGCGGGCCGTCGACCGCCGGCGCCGGCCGGCCGCGCGCGGCGTCGGGCTTCCGGCTGCACGCCGGCGGGCCGCCGGCGGTCGAGTACGACGCGCCGTGGGCGTCCGGCTCGGAGCTCTCGGACGACCTCGACGAGGAGGAGCCAGAGGCGCCGACGCCGCCGCCCAGGCCCGGAGGCGCGTGCGAGTTGGCCGCGGTGTCGCGGCGCGCGTGACGTGGCGCGTGTGACTGTCTTTTGTTGGTAGATCTAGACGGATCTTCGGTGCCCGGGTAACGTCAGCGAGGTAGGGAGTTTTTCGCCGTACATAAAGTGGTGCCCCACTGCCACACCACAGCGCCTTGGCGACCTTCCCGCCTAAAGCTAAACTGGCCCACTCGCTACACTCTAGCACGCGGCGGATGAGGGATGCACACGGTAATGGTTTCTTTCACGGTGTGGTGTACCTGTGAGCTGTGTTAGTGCCAGTGCGCGCCAGTCCCGTGCCCAGTGTCGTGCGAGAACGTTGCATAAGAGTTTCGGAACGAGGCGCGTGTGCGTAATGCATGTGGCACGTGTAGATTTTTGAAATTCCGCCTCAATATTGATGCCCCAGAACTGACTGTGAAATATAAAATGAACTCGGGGGCACGGGACGCGGCACAAACGGGGCACAAACGCCAGGCTAGAAAGACGGGGAGGCACGTAGTACTCGTCGCCCTGAACGGTTGCCCAGGTTGTGGAGGGAGCAGGCGGACATCGCTTCCAGGGGGGGGGGCGCGCTTCTGCTCACACCACATGCTAGGGGGGGGGGGGTCCGACGTCGTGGACTGTCTTTGTATTGGTAGATCTAGATGGTATACCCGGGTACGTCAGAGTTTTTCGACATAAAGTGGTGTGCCCCACTGGGCTCGAGGCCCCCTTGTGGCGGTATCCGACGATCGGGCGGTGGGACACCTTGTGGCTACGGCTCTAGTTCCAATTCACTCTGACACGCTAATCAGTAATCTTGAAAACGCGTCCAACGGAGCTCCGTGTTGCTCCCAGCGGAATCCCCCGCGCTTCCTGCGGCCATGGCCGATGATACTAGTATGAGAAGTCATCTGGCTACCGCGAGCGCGACTCAACTCGCCGACGTCGTCCGATGATTGTGCCTCAAAGTCAGCCTCCGGAGGCTATCGTGGGGTCGAGCCGGCGGTAGCCGTGACATGTGGTTCCACCACCCCTCGCAGGCTTTGCCTCTGACCGCCACCGTTCCCAGGCTGCCTAATGGGATGGAAAGGAAGGCTGGACGAGCGTATAGAAGCGTGCTCGACCTCGTCGTGGCAACCTGCACGGCAGCGCTGGTAGGCGCGATGAGCGTCGTGCCACCTGACCCAAGACGGGTCGCAGGCGTCGTACCGAGCGTGTCGAGACCGTGTCCCCTGATGTGATCTGCACGGGTGAGTCACGTCGGCGTCAAAGGAGCGACGTGCGACCTGTCAAAGCTTGATCTCCGATCTCAGCGGCGTCGAGTCGTCTCCGTCACGGACACAGAGGCCCCCCCCGGGAGCAAAAAGAGCTCGTTTTCCCCCCCCCCCCCCCCCCGCCCCCGCCCCACCCCTTCTGACCCAACACAACTGCAGCCTGATAATTGGCTGTCTCCGACCTGACTCCGTTTTTTGCCTGTGCCTGGCAGAATCCAGGAATCCAAAAATCGCAGGTCGGAAATCTTACAGATAGAAGAAAGAAGCCTCTCTGAGTGTGCTGATCCACCTTCGAGGCGTCCTCCGTGACGTCCTTTCCCAGATTCTGCTGTTGCCACTGCGTCGGCGTATGCGTTTTGGAGGCCATATCCCGAGGGGGGCTCCCACACGAAGCCCGCGGGAATTCTTTTTTATAGAGACTTCGCGGCACTCCCTCTGTGATCGCGGCTCCCGACTCTATTGGCCACCAAATATGCCAGACATGTCGCTGGAGCAGCGGCAGCACGCTCTCTGTGCCGCCATTGCACCGCTCGCCGTCGCCTCCCACCTCCTCGGCCTCGGTCTCGGCTACCTGCCTGGCATCGCGATCGCCCTCTCGCTGCTGCCGCTGCTGCGGCCGGCACTCACGATTCCAAACGCGGTGACCGTGGCGCGGCTGGCGATCCCGTGCCTGCACGCGATCAGTCCTCTGGCCAGCCCGGCGGCGCGGCTGTCGGCGGGGCTGGCCTTTGTGGCGCTCGACTTTGTCGACGGCGCCCTCGCGCGGTGGCTTCGCCAGACGTCGAGGTCCGGCGCCGTGCTCGACGAGGAGGCGGACTCGTTTGGGACGCTCGTCGCGTCTGCCGAGATGGTGCGCCGCGGCCTCGTCCCGCTCTGGCTCGCTGCGCACCAGGGCCTTGCGCACTACCTCTTCCTTCTCCTGCGGCTGCGGCTCTGCCCGCACTTCTCCTTCCACTTCCCGCTCGCTCGCTCGTGCGCCGGCGCGATGGGCGCCTGCCTCGTCGCCGCCTGCGCCGCGGCCGAGGCCGGCGCGCCGGCGGCTGCGCGGGCGCTCGGCTGCGCCGGCGCGGCCGTCAACGCCTTTTCCTTTTCGATCTCGTGCCGCCAGTGTCGCGGGGGCGGGTGGCGCACCGAAGCGAGTGTCTACGCGCGTGTGGTGCGCGGATGCGCTGTAGGTACTGCCAGCTCGCACGGGCGGCGGTCAGGGGGGCGAGCCGCCGCCGCAGCGCCGCCGACCCCTCCGCCACGCCCCCGCTTGCCCTGAGCCTCGGCGCGGCGGGAAGAGAGGAGGGGGCGAGCTCGACTAACTAGTGAATTCAGTCGGGGTGTGATGAATTCCTCAGGGAGAGAAGAGGGGGAGCCGAGGTTTGTCTTTGCGACGGTCGGGTCGCTGGCGAGCTGCAGCGGTGGGCACGGGCCGCGAGGGTCCACCCCCCACCGTTCAACACCAACTCATAGCTGCAGCTCGCTCCCTCTCCAGGCGGCTACAAGCGCCTCCTCCTCACCTCGCTGCTCGCATCTCTCCCCATCTCTCCCCACATCTCCTCAGGCGGCTACATCTACGAGCGCCTCCTCCTCACCTCGCTGCTCGCATCTCTCCCCATCTCTCCCCACATCTCCTCAGGCGGCTACATCTACGAGCGCCTCCTCCTCACCTCGCTGCTCGCCCGCCCCGCACGCTGGACCGCGCGGGTCGCGCTGAGGACGTGGCGCGCCGCCGCCGCCGCATTGCCGTCCGCCGTCGCGCCGCCGCCGCCGTGGCGGGGGGAGGCAGAGGTCTGGGAGCTACGGCGCGACCACGCCATCTTTGGAGGCGGCGGAGAGACGGCCAGAGAAGGTGGCCGATTCGCCCTCGCCCTAGCCCTCGCCTTCGCCGATGGCTCGACTAGCCCTCGCCCTGGCCCCCTAGCCTCGCCTAGCCCTGG